TGATCCTTCAAAGCATAAGATGTAGCTCTCTCTCAGAATCTAAAATTGCTACAGATGTGATGTTGTCGAGCTTGGAACTGACTCACGGTCAGCTGCTGTAAGTCCAATGACTGAGGGGAAGCTCCTTGGAGTTTCCTAACTCAATTCAGACTACTCTCTCTCCACTTTTGCACACCTGTCTGTCTACAGCTCACCGTTGTAAGGAGAAATCAAAATACGCTTTTTCCAAATCATCACGCTATAAACAATAAAAAGCTGCTCTTGTAGAGACAGATTTTGAAGGATTAATGTCTTTATGTTTGAAACGGGAAAATCATTAAACCATTTTCAACACACCTTGCTTATACAAAAATAAGACAATTACAGTATTTGGAAAAAGTGTTCATAAACACGGTCATTTTTCTCCTTTTTGTAATGTATTCCTCAAGGTGAATTCCCATTTTGGCTTTTTGACATTTGCATGAGGGAAAGATAGAGAAGCATGCATTCAGTAAGATGTAGAAAGATGGTTTTATATAGATATAAAACAATCGAAAACTACTATTGCCTTCCCGTAGAATATTTTCAATGGGCAACTATTTCCCAAATATGTTTTTACCATGTTTTTGGAAGAAAAAGGTAAAATGAACTTGGGCTTTTTTTGCAGACATTCAGTATTTAACCTTTCCTAGTTTCAACCTTCCAAAATGGCCAAAGAGTGTCCAATGGAGATTACCATCTGTAGGACGTCATTGTGGACCTCCTTCTGAAAATGGTTTGCATATTTCTTTTATGGCAGTGACTCTGGTCGTACTTCAAGAGAAAAATATTGAAATGACTTGTCTACCATCAATCAACATTCATTCTTGCCTTATATGTGCATTTGAAAGAGTCTCCATGAGTTGATTTCCAAAGCCTGCGATAAGATTTAAAAGAACTACTGGGAGAAGCTTCTCAATTGTGGACAAACGGTGTTTATGGACACTGACAGTTTTCTCCTTTTTGTAATGTGTGCTTCAAGTTAAAATCCCCCTTTCGGCTTTTTGCCTTTTGCATGATGGAAAGATAGAGGAGCATGCATCTGTAAGATGTAGGAAGATGGTTTGAGAAGGCAATAGATATAAAACATTCGAAAACTACTATTGTCTGCAGCTAGAATATTTTGAGTGGGCAAATATTTCCAAAATAAGTTTTTACAATATTTTTGGATGTTAAATGCAAAATGAACTTGTTATTATTATTATTACATAGTATTTAAAAAACACCAACAGTTTGCGCAGCGCTTTACAATGTAAGGAAGACATTACAATACAATTCAAGACAAGATGGTAAGGAGGGCCCCGCCCCTGAGGGCTTACAATCTAAAAGAGGAGGGGGAAATGATACATGAGGAGGTAGCTGTGAGGGGATGAATTTTTTGAGAATGTGAAGGTTCAGTGGTTAGGTTGAGGTGGGATAGGCTTCTCTGAAGAGATGAGTCTTTAGGGAACGCCTAAAGACAGTCAAGGTGGGAGATAGACGGACAGGTTGGGGTAAAAAGTTCCAGAGGATGTGAGAAACTCTAGAGAAGTCCTGGAGGCGAGTATGGGAGGAGTTGACTAGGGAGCTGGAAAGCAAGAGTTGACTTTTTTTTCTGAGCTTCAGTGTTTAACTTTTCCATGCTTCAACCTTCCAAGAAGACCAAAGAGTTTCCACAGGAGATTTCTATCTGTAGGATGCTATTGCTGCTCCTTTTGAATTTTTTTGCATATTTCTTTTATATCAGTGACTCTGGCAGTAATTCAATAGAAAAATAATGAAATTACTTGTCTACCATCAATCAACATTCATTTTTGTTTTTTACGTGCTGTTGAAAGAGTCTCCCCTAGTTGATTTTTGAAGTCTGGGATGAGATTTAAAATAACTACTGGGAGCACACTCCAGAATGTAGAGTAGTTCAGTGCTGAGGCTACCTGCAGAGTACTTTGATCATTATTTGTCAAGTCCTTGGGGAGGGTCTGAGACAAAGGCCAATGGTTGCTTTCACAGAACAAATTAAGCTTGATCTTTCCAGCAAAAGCTGTAGCTCTCTACCAGGATGTGATGTTGTTGAGTTTTGATAGTTTTTGTCATGAGACTGCTGTGTGTTGTTTTTCTTATATAGAGTTATATGGTGTGAACCCACCCTTACTCTGTTGCTGCAATGCATGTGCATTGGAGATGTGTTGCCTTAGTGCGTTGGGGTGCTGTTGAAGATGCTAGGGCCCTGTGTGACTTTTGCCAACAGTGATGGGTGTGGGGTTGTCTGATGTGTGAAGGTTTGGGAGAAGGTATTGGGTTGTCACAGTGTTGTAGAGGGGGACTGGGTTGTGATGAGGATGAGGGGTGTATTAAATTATTGGGGATAATGATGGAAGTCTATGATTGTTGGGGGCAGGGCGACTACATCTGTGATTCTAAGGGACAGGGTGAGAGCATCTAGAGAGTTGGGGACAAGGCGATGGTGTCTGTGATTGCTGGGCATGGGGTGATGGTGTCAGTGATTGCTGGGGATAGGGTGACGGTGTCAATGATTGTTGGGGATAGATTGATGGTGTCAGTGATTTCTGTGGATGGGGTGACGGTTTCTATGAATATTGGGGACACGGTGATGCCATCTGTGATTGTTGGGGAAGAGGCAAGGGCATTTGTAATTGTTGAGAAATGAGCCTTGGTGTCTGTGGTTGTTGGGGACAGGGTGACAGCTCTGCAATTGTTAGGGTTAGGGTGGGAGCATCTGTGTTTGTTGGGGACAGGGTGATGGTGTTTGTGATTGTTGAGGATGAGGCAAGGGTGCCTTGGATTGTTGGGGATGGAGTGATGGCATCTGTGATTGTGGGAACGAGTCAAGGACACCTGTGATTGTTAACAGGGCAACAGCATCTACAATTGTAGGGGACAAAGTCGTCTGTGTTTGTTGGGAATGAGGCGAGGGTGTCTGCGATTATTGGGGATAGGGGGATGGTGTCTGTGATTGGTAGGGATGGAGCAATTTGCGTCTTTGATTACCGTGTTTCCCTGAAAGTAAGACCTACCCCGAAAGTAAGACTTAGCGCTATCTTCAGTGATTTCTGTAATATAAGACCTACCCCGAAAATAAGACCTAGTTCGGTGGTAGGTTTTATATTACAGAAATCCACGAAAGTGTCTGCGATTGTGGGAGATGGGGTGATGGGGTCTGCTATTGTTGGGGATGGAGAAATTGCATCTGTGATTGTTGGGGACAGTGTGGCGGCATCTGTGATTGATAAAGAATGGAGCACTTGTGTCTGCGATTGTCGAAGAATGAGGCAACAGCGTCAGTAGTTGCTGGGGACAGGGTGACGGCATCTGTGATTGTTGGGGTTGAGGCAAGAGCATTTGCAATTGTTGAGGAATTAAGCAATTGCGACTTTGATTGTTGGGGACAAGGTGACACCATCTGCGATGGTTGGGAATGGGTTGACAGCATCTGTGATTGTTGGGGACAGAGTGGCGGCGTCTGTGATTGTTGGGAATGGTGTGATGCCATCTGTGGTTGTTGGGGATGGGGTGACGGCATCTGCAAATGTTGAGGATGAGGTAAGGGCGCCTGTGATTGTTGGGGATGAGGTAAAGGCGCCTGTAATTGTTGGGTATGAGGTAAAGGCGCCTGTAATTGTTGGGTATGAGGTAAAGGCGCCTGTAATTGTTGGGGATGAGGCAAGGGCACCTGTGATTGTTGGAGAGGAGGTAAGGGCGCCTGTGATTGTTGGGGATGGAGCGATGGCGTCTGTGATTGTTAGGGACGGGGGACAGTGCATATTCTTCGACTGTAGGGAAAGAGGCGAGGGTGTCTGCGATTGTTGGAAACGCAGCAACGGCGTAATTTTTGGAAGACGAGGAACCAGCGACAGGGGCTACTGCAGAACCTCAATGCACTGACCCATGCATGGTGCCTCGCGATGCAGTAACACAGGTTTACCACAACAGAGAGGTGTCAATGAGCCCTCAGACTGTGAGCAAATTCTCACATAAAAGTTTATGAGGAGAAAGGGGATAGCGTGTTTCCTCTGGGGAGGAGCCACTCACAGGAAATGCGGGCAAATCACTGACAGGAATAGAAACCTGACCGGGATTCTAACACTTTCCTGCTCCATGAATATAATAAAAGGTTGAAGGCGGAGTTGGTCTTTATTCAGTTCATTGTTATATAAAGAAGTACAGAAACATATGTAAGGCCTGGAATGTTCCACGAGATGAAGGTCATATGACAAGGTCACCATTATGTTTATTATTCTCACAAAACCAGAATATTCAGTCACAAATAATGGATTTGGTCACATCAATGGTCACTAAGTAACAGGAGGCCACTCCCCCTGCTGCCTATCAGCGATTGTATTATGACAGGAGGCCACGCCCCTGACCGTCTGTCAATGATTTCTAAGTGACATAGAGCCACTCCTCTGCTGTCTATCAGTGGTTGCCGGGCGACAAGCTGCTCCTCCCTCCTAGCGCTGTCCCTCAGCTGTCAGGAGTTGTGGGCGTGGCAGGCTGCGTGCTCTGTGTAGTGACGTAGGACGCAACGCCAGGGGTGAGAGGTCACGGCGGCGAACGCGGTGTGTGTCTTCTCGTACCGTTATATGAGAGATTGTTATTCGTCCGCCCGGGCTCTCTCAATGCGGGGGCAGTACGGGCGAGAGCATGACCCGGAGAGCAGTTAGCAGGAAGAGGAAAGCGGCGCCGGGGACCGGAGATCAGGTAACACACGGCGGGGGAGGCCTGTGTGGGCAGCTGGGGCCCTGTGTGGGCGGCTGGGGCCCTGTGTGTCTGTTGCCAGGGGTGACAGATGTGGGGCCTTCTGGTGTCCTCTATGTACGAGGGTTTGCGAGGGGTGACTGGGAATGGGCCTTGGTCTGTTGTGGCGGGGGGGGGGGGGTGTTTGAAAATGTTGGGGGGCACAGGGTGAATGTTGGGGGTGGTGAGATGGCATCCAAGTTTCTTGGAGATTGTGTCTGGGATCGTTGTGATTGGTGCAAAGGCATCCAGCAATTGTTGGGGAATGGAGCGAAGGCGTCTGCGATTGTTGGGGTTGAGGGGACAGTGTCTTTGATTGCTGTTGCCTGTTGACAACCCATGGACCAATGGTGCCTGAGGTTGCCGGGGTCAGGACAATGCTGTCTGCGGTTGGCGGAGATGGTATGAGGTTTACAGTGCCTCTGATTATCGAGAAGATGGGGTGTAAGTGTCTACAATTGTTGGAGACCAGTCGCCTGTGAATGGGGTTGTTGGGAACGGATCATTGGTGTTTGCAATTTTTGGGGGAGGCATTTGGGACAAGGCCAGCGGCCAATGCAGCTGTTTGCAATGGGGTGATGGTGCCAGCGATTGTTGGCGACATGGTCTCCCATTGCTCGGTACTGGTTGACGTCGGTTGGGATGACGGGGGTCTCATGTTGGCTCAGTGATGAGGCGAAAGATCATACATCAGAGCTATAACTATTCACAGTTGGAGCAGTAGCAGTTTTGGTAAGGGTCCAGGAACACATTGGCTTCTTAGTGGGTGGTCTTTCCCTAACATGTAAACAAAAGCTGCAGTTACTTGCAGATCAGTGTTTATCCTTTGACTTTTATGTGTGTGCTCATATGGAGGTTGTGAAAGCTGAACAATCTTTGAAGCCGAGACTACGGGCATGCCGCAGGAGATGGTCGGAGGCTACGGGCATGCCGCAGGAGATGGTCGGAGGCTGCGGGCATGCCGCAGGAGTTCATGTAGACTGTGTACATTGCTATAGGAGACGGCCATAAGTTGAAAAAAGTTACATGACGCTGCTAGAGATCACAGCAACTACAACGCCTTTGGAAATGAATACTTCCCTGTTTTTGCTTCCTGCACAAAATAGACCAGCGAGCATCTCTTGCCACTGTGCAGGGACCCCATCCATTCTTATGGCTGAAGATCAGTGAACTACCTTCCCAGAGACTCCTGTTGTCTCCCTAATAACTGGCACCACTATAGCATGGAGTGCTTCCCAGATTGTAATTAGAAATGAAGGGGGAAAAAAACAAGTAAAAATGTAAAATTAAAAATGAAGTGTGATTTCTTTTTTAGCACATTATGGCACATGGGCGATGTATGCTATAGTGACCCAGGATGTCGTTTTTTTTTTGTACATTTAGCCCTGCTCCTGACAAGCAGAGCTAAATGTACACTGGGGAGCTGCCGCTCGTTTTTATACAAGCGACCTGATCAGATCACTTGTATGAAACGAGCAGCGGTCTTGTCAGGGCGCCCCTCCCCCACCACGGTTTTCGGGATCCCCGCTTCTCTGGGGTACCCGGTACCATGGCACATGAGCTCACCATAGAGCCGACGAACGTCTGTTCCTGGTCTGCTCTGTGTGATCACTGAGACTGGAACGCTGTAATCACAGCGTCGGCTGTCGGGAACTACACAGAACATCTGTTTTGGGGGGCAGGTTCCATAAAGAGAACCCGTCACCTCCAAATTATCACATAGGGGCTTGTAATTCCCTATGTGATAGGAATAAAATTAAGTAAAAAGAAAAAAATAGAAAATTAGCCAATGCTATTTTAGCCAATGCTGTAAAAGTTACAGTTGACACCTAACTTTTTAGCTGTCCTATAGTTGTTGTCCATGGATCTGGCTCCTAAAAGAAATCATCCCACTGGCTCCTGGATTGGACAGACTGGCTCCTGGATTTCATATTAATTTGTCCACCCCCAGCAATTGCTACACATAGGGAATAATAGAATGTCTCATGTAGCAATTATTTGCAGTCCTTCAAAGTTATGTGATTGATTGCTACTGGGGGTGTCTCGATACCATTTTTTCGAGACCAAGCACTTTCCCTCAGATACTCGGCCGATGCCAATTACTGATACTTTTTCTTAAAGGGACATGTGAAATTTTTTTCTATAACAATATAGACCAATGATTTTAGGGCAGTTTCTCACCAGGACTGCGGTATGGGCCTCTCCTGTGCTGCGCCGGGAAGTAGGAGGGGGCGGCAATGTACAACTGGACAGGCACTGCCGGAGGTCCCCATCAAGACAGCTGCCGCAGGTCCCCATCAAACGCGGAACCTCTGGCAACCGAATCTATTATAAAATTTAAAGGGCCGGTATGTCCTCTATTAGGGATGTACCGATGGTACTTGGCCAAATGCTCCGATACTTGTCCTGATACCGGAACTTCCGGCCAGAGGGAGATTTCCTCTGACCGGCAGTGCCGCGAGGGATCACGGAGCCGGCTTCCCGGGCCAATCAGGATACCGGGCTGCGGCCCGGCTTCCTGATTTGCTGTGAAGCTGGCTCGATGCTGATTGAGCAGGAAGCCGGCTTCCCGGGCCAATCAGGAAGTAAAATGACCCACCTCCCGGCTTCCTGATTGGCCCGGGAAGCCGGCTCAATGCTGATTGGCTGGGATGCCGGCTTCCTGGCCAAACGGCATGGAGCTGGCTTCCTGGGCAATCAAGTGGCCAAGCAGCGGGTCATGACACGCCCGGCTTCCTGATTGCCCGGGAAGCCTGCTTAATACTACCGGAAGTACCGGTGTCTGTATTCAGTATCGGGAAGTACCGAAATATAAATATCTGTACTTGTACCCGGTACGGAAATATAAATATCGGTACTCGTACACGATACAGAAGAACCGGTATCAGTGCATCCCTAGGCTTTATGTACAAGTACTTGTGAAAATGCCTGGTATTGATATCGGGACATCCCGAATTGCTACCTCATAAATGTGCACGTGCAGCTGTAATGGGGAGATCATGGGCAATAAATGTTATAATAAAGAAAAAAAATCGACCATGTGCCTTACAGTTTCTGGGATGGACGCCCCCCTTCAAGTCTTATACTTGCCTGGTCCTGATCCAGCAACATGTTGGCTGAGTGTTATTCTCAGCACCGCACTGCCAATTCTCCAAATCTCCACATGGCCCGCATGTCCTTGGTGCTATCTCCCTGTACGCTTTTGTGCAGCACAGGTTGGGTATCCCCGCACATGTAGAATGAGGGCAGTTCATTCCGTATAACTCTAAAGTAATCTGTAAAAATTAAATCAAGGCAACTGGACTGGCTGTATTTTTTATTAAGACATTTTGCTGGTCATCGGACTAGCTTTCTCAATTCAGAAGCTAGTCGGATAACCCGCGAAATGTCTTCAAGAAAATTACAGCAAGTCCAGTTAGCCTTGATATATTTTTTACCGATATACCATGACCTTGAAGAATGAGAACCTTCACAGACATCTAAAGGTTTGTAATTCGTCCCCTATTTATAATTTTGGGCATCGTAACTCTTTTTTGACATTTAGCGATCGCACGTCATTTTTAGCCTAGTTAAAACATATATATATATTTAATGGGAAAATTTGGAGGCCAAATCACGTATTATGTGCACTCAAAATATCTGTTTCTCTTTCAGGTTGACTGGGACCATGCCGCTCAGAAGCGGAGGAGGCTTCCTCCAGAGAAGAAGTCCGTGGTGTATTATCTGAAAACCAGGGAACTGAGAGCTCAGGGTGAGCGCAGCTACCACCGCCTAATACGTGGCTGCGCCGCTCAGACGCTCCCCGGGATTCTCAAAGAGAAGGAGTTTAATCTCGGCACTCTCAACAAAGTGTTTGCTTCGCAATGGCTGAACCATCGGCAGCTTGTTTGTGGAACCAAATGCAATACGGTAAGTTTACTTTCGGTTGAACGCTTTTTTTTTTTTATTAGGGCTTGTTCACACCGAAAGCGTGTGCGTTCCAGAGCTGTAGCTCCAGGAACGCACCGCGATCGCTGATAAACTTCCCTCTGCGTTTTGGGGCGGGAGGCGGCGTGGCGGTGCATTGAATTCAATGGCACCGCTTCCACGCCCCAAACTCCCCTGCCCGCATTGCAATCGGACGCGTGGTAAAACTTTGCCTCCGTTCCACTGCAAACGCAAAAGATAGGGCAAGCGTGTGCCATGCGTGTACATCCAAGCGTGTACCATGAGGATCCAATGTGTTTAAACCCTTTTACGTTTTTTTGCATAGAACTACTGCTAGCAAGCAGTAAATATATGCAAAAACTTTTAAAAGATAAACCTTTTTGAAACCGGTTTAAACTTACCTGTGTCTTCGCCGCGCGCTCCCGTCCAAACATCTGAAGAGTCTCGGGCAGCCGTAAAGGATCTTGGGGCGCATGCGCACTTCAGACGTTCGGCGGGGAGACGAGGAGCGAGGCAAGATAAGTATATAATATAGCGTGCACCCGCACATACTCCGTGGGACATCAGAGAAGAGGAGGACAGAGGAGTCGGCACTGGATCGGAGACCCGCACCAGCGCTTGAGGGACATCTGAAAACAGATGTCAGACGTCGGTGAGCGTACACGTACGCTGAAAGGATGGATCCTGTCTGCGTCTGAGCGAGGAAACGCGCACCCCTACGGACTTGCACTTAAGGTGAGCGTAGGAGGGACATACAGCCGCGTAGTTCCATAGAGAAGGATTTGGGGAGAACTCCAGGCAAGCAGGTAAAAACACAGTTGACATATCTTCTATATGGTGCTGATGTATAAAACTTTTGCCCAGTGTATAGCTGAGAAAATGCCGTTTGCATGCCCCTAGATCAGGGGTGGGCAACTCCAGCCTTCCAGCTGTGCTTTAACTACAAATCCCAAAGTGCCTCTGGGAGTCATGTCTGTAACGGTCAGTCTTGCAATGCCTCATGGGACTTGTAGTTCCACAACAGCTGGAGGACTGGGGTTTAACTACCCCTGATGTAGATATTTTGACAGTAGGCCTGTTGTCTTGTTTGGTTCTATTATGTTCCAGTAACAATGTTCTCTTTCTCTGGCAGTTGTTTGTGGTGGACGTACAGACTGGGCAGATCACAAAGATTCCCATATTAAAGGACCGTGAACCGTCCAATACAGCACCACAGAGCTGCGGCATCCATGCCATTGAAATCAATCCTTCCCGAACCCTGCTGGCTACCGGAGGTGATAACCCCAACAGCCTGGCCGTCTACCGGCTTCCCACCCTGGATCCCGTCTGCGTGGGAGATGTGAGCTGCATTCATTTTTGTTTTTTGTACATGTTGGTCTTTGTCTTGTACATTTTGAGGATTTCAGGTTAAAAAGCAAATCTCACAATTTAAGGCCATTTGGCGTAGAAACCGGGGGCTCAGTGTCTTGTGCTGGATCTCCAGTCCTCCTTCCTATGATGAGGGACAGGATCCATGCTGTATTAGAGGGTCTGCTGTTAACATATAAACACAATAAATGGAAAGGCATGTGTCTGCAGGATGGCAGTGGCAGCCTCAGTATAGTGTCGGGGTAATATCTTTTCATTGGTGGTTTCCGTGAGTCATGGGGTTTAAAACGCTCCATACTTCCAACCATAATAATATCCCAGTAGAGACGAGGGGGAGGATGGAGTTAGCAGCTATGTGAAGAGATCAAGTCCTAAAAGGGCACTTGTTGGCATCTCTGAGATCATGCATTACATGCAGCCTGTTCATTCTGAGACTATTTTTTTCCCCTGGTCCAGATCAACTTAAAGCAGAACTATGGGGCTAAGGCTTTTCCCCATAGTTCTCCTTAGGGTAACGGGAGGACACAAACTAACGTCCTCCTGTCACCCTAGGCTCAGTATATCGCGAGCTGTAGCTAGCAGTATACTGAGACATTGCTGCTCGCGGTATACTGAGACGCTGCAGCGGATCCCGACAATTATGCAGGGATCCGCCCAGCTGCGTGACTGACAGCTGGCTCGGCCTATCTAGAGGCAGAGCCAGCTGTACCCGCCCCCTCCCCCATCCATTCCGCCAGTCAGCGCTGGCGGATCGGAAAGGGGTGGGGGGGAATCCAGCCCCTCCCCTGTCACTGCAGAAAGCCGTGACAGGATCGAGAGGTGAGCGAACGCCGATGTGTTCGCTCACCTCCCGATCTACTGAGCCGACCTGTGACAGTCTCATTGTCACAGGTCGGCTAGAACTATGAGGTGAGTGGAAATCACTCATCTCATAGTTCTCCTTTAAATATTTTCTGTATAGAAGGGCCTGTTGGGGGGAAACAGTTGCCCCTTTCTGCCAGGTGTCCTATAAATTCCCTGTGTGTTTTGGACTTTTTGCCAGGTAGAGTAAGTAGACTGTATATTCATCCTAACATCACAACTTTTAATAGACCCAGTTGTAGCAGAATGATGATCTGCACTAATTTCCTGGCATATTGCCTTCAAACTGAAAGCAAACCTGTAGTCCGAAAGTGTAAAAGGAAGAGGCACTGGCCTCCTGAACATGGGCACCTGGGGCAGCACAACATAAAAACAAGGTAGATTTCCCTTCCCAGGAGCCACAGCTCCTATTGTCAGTGGAGGTTTACCTGAATCCGGATAATCTGAATTATGCATTTGTATAAAGCGATTCAGTTAATGCCTCAGATCTCGTGTTATGTAGAGGCTGCTGCCATACAGCTACAGCGATGCAACTTGGTTATCCAGACAACCGTATACCTGTCTCTCGTATGTATGTATATATATTAGCGATGCACCGATATATCGGCCGCCGAAAATGGCACTTTTGGCTAAATGCCGAAAGAGCCATGTTTCGGCCGATACATCTGCGCATCCCTGGTTTCTTTCCTCCCCCACTGGGCGCTGCTCTGTGTTCCAGCGGGGAGAAAAGAAAGTGACAGCCGGCCGAGCGCTGCAGGACGAGATCGTGAGCGGCCGGCGTCTCTCCTCGCACACCGCTCAGCCGCCTATCACAGTCCGGCAGAGCTGTGTGTGGGCAGAGACAGCCAGCGCTGTCACAGGAGGCTGAGCTCACCTCCCTGCTCCACTCTATCAGCCTCCTGTGACAGCGCGTCAGAGAGTAGAGTGGAGTACAAGCAGTCGGTGATCAGTGATCGCTGAGTGTGTGTAGATAATTGAGGATATGGTATGTTAACTATATCCTCAATTATGAATGGATGGGAGTGATCTGCATCACCTCATGTTCAGTCATAGTTGTAGGTATAGTAAACATACCATGTCCTCATGTCATCAATTAACAGGAACACTCATTCCTGTTCATTGATAACAGGGGATACAGAAAAAGAGATTGAGGACTTTGTGTCCTAAATCTCTTTATCACAATGACTGGATTTTCTCTATTGCGTGGATTAGCGACACCCTGGCAGTTTCAGGTGAGAGTTTTACTCCCCTTTGCCTTCTTCTCTCATTTTCTGTTTTTCTGATTCGGCATTGATTCTGTTTGATACTTTTTTATCAACCTTTTTAACATGGAGGAACCCTTAAAATAACATTCAGGTCTCAAGGCACCATTGCTAATAATATATCTCATTGTACATTATCGTGGGCAGTAAGTTGATATACAAGAATTAATAAAAGAATTAGGATTTGTAGTCGGTGAAGAATGTAGTTCTTCTTTAAAGTATTTTTGATGCTAAATGAAGTCTGTGGCTCCGCTGGGAAGATTTCCCCGTATTTTTGTTTTCCTGCGACACCAACACAAGATATAAGGGACATGGCGGTCTCAGGGACAGGAATGGGCCAATGAAAACCTGACAAGGGTTATAACTACGGATGCACAGATACTAGTATCGGTATTGGTGCCGATACCGAGTATTTTGGCGAGTACTCGTACTCACCCAAATGCTCCGATTCTTACCCTGATACAGGAACTTCTGGTCAGAGGAATTTCCTCTGACAGGCAGTGCTATAGGGGAACATGGAGCCAGCTACCCGTGCAATCAGGAAGCCGGTTCATGATTGGCTGGGAAGTCCGCTTCCCGGGCCAATCAGCCTTGAGCCAGCCGAACTGCCGGCTCCTTGGTGGGAAACCAGCTTCCTAGCCAGTCAGCATGGAGCCGCCTTCCCTTCCAATCAGGAAGCCGGAGGCGGATCATTACTCGCCGCCTGGCTTCCTGATTGGCACCGGGAAGCTGGCTCAATGCTAATATACTGGGAAGCTGGTTTTCCTCCCAAAAACATGGAGCCAGCTTGTCGGGCGGCATGCCATTACCTGCCACCCGGCTTCCAGATTGCCGGGGAAGCTGGCTCCATGCCAGCGAAAGCACCGGTATCGTTACTCTGAATTGGCGAGTACCGAAAGCAGAAGATCTGTACTTGATACCGAAAAAACGGTATCCGTGCATCCCTAGTTGTAACCCTTCCACACTTCCATTATTTCCTATGTTGAAGACACTCTGCCATCATTACACTATGGGAAATGTCCCCATTGAGACCGCAATACAGACCTGTCAGAATTTCTACATCTGCCTCCTTACTCCTTCTAAATAAATTGCTGAAGAAGTGTCTCTGATTCCACTAGTGGTGGGTTTGTGCATACGGCTGTTGCTGGTTCTTCAAGCACAAGAAAACCAATTTTCTGGACATGTCAGAGTAGAGCCATCTGTTCCATAAAACCTCGGTTTGTGTAGAAATTTAGAAATGGATGAATTCCCCTTTACTGCCTGCAGTACCTCTGCCATGTTGGGCCGGTATATCGGCCAGCACAGTGTTAGCAGTAGGGCATTCAGGGTATAGATTTCCTCCCTTACAGCTTATTCCCCCTTCCTTTTGTGATGTGTGCTTAGGGTTCCCATAGCAATAAGTAAGAGTGATGAGGGGGCATGTGGGTGCATTATGACATGCTTGCCTGTAGTCTCCCTGTCGGGGGTGGGCGGATTTTTCAAGGCGGACAGCTAAGTCCTTTCTCTTTAGTGATATGGGCACCAACGCCATCTGTGGGCTGTGTAGCCTGTGGCTTCAAAGTCCTGCAAATTTTGTTTAGTCATGCCATTAAAAAGTGAGTTGGAGAGGTACCAGTGATCTAGCGGGGGTGGGGGGG